TAGGATGGAGTACAGCCCAATCTGTACATCCAAACGCAAGGGGAATCTTGATTAGGGAAGTTGAACACATGCCTCTTAGCTTACCATGTTGCTCAACTACCATTGGCATGCTTCTGGCGATCATCTTAGCACCATACGGACGATCGTCACACCTCGACGCCTTTTCTGGAGATCACAATCCCAACGTCCCACCGGATCGGCGTGTAAATGACTTCTTATGGAAAACAGGGCTTAACTGGTTATGGCCCCAGATACCATTCTTAATTCGGTTCAACTACCTTTACCTGGAGTTGAACTGGTATCTTGTGATCTGACCTGTGGAGTGGTAACCACTACACTATAGACCCACAGGTCTACCAGATAATTATCACTAGTGCACTTTAAAATATATATATATATAATAATAATAATTTATAAAGTATAATTTTTATAACAAATATAATCAATTTTAAATTTAATAAATTAAATAATATAAACTAGTAATAAGATTTTTATCTTTTGTAAAAAATTCTATCTAATATATAAACATATTGTATTATTTGATATTTAAAAATTTATATTTGTTGAATTATAAAAATATTATAGATATTCAAGTTATTACTAAAAATTTTAATTTACAAATAGATGCAAAAAGATAAAATATTAAAACCAATTTGTAAAGACACTTAATATCAATCTAAATATTAAATATCAATATAAATTTATATTAATACATGTTTACTTATTTATCTTATATTATCAAATTTATATTAACATTAATTTAAAACGAAATAATTAATATTAATTAAATAAAAACTTAAATATTTATCAAATCATGTTGTATATTATAATAATTTGATTTTAATTTATTATTTTTAAAAAAATATTTTCATTAGAAATTTTTGAGTAACTTACAATAAATAATTGTTAAAGTTGATTTGAGATAAAAAATAAAAAAGTTAATAAAATAAAAGAAAATAAGACAATTGTAAGAAGGCATTGGTTATATCTATTCGTGCAGAAAAGTTTTGTAGATAACAAGATTTGTAAGACGTCTTTAAAGAATAATAAATCAATCTCGAAGGTGAAGCAAAAATTACAAATTTTAAAAGATGGGTTGAAATGTATAAAAATAATAAGGTATTCAAATATTATCAAAAATCAACTGAGATGGGATTTTCATATAATGTTGACTATTGTTATCTCAATGGAATTGGAGTAGAAAAGAATAACACAAAAATTAAAAAGTTTTTTCGCTTATAACATCAATTATTGATTAATAAGTTATTATTAGCAATTAATATTGACGGCATATAGAACCGTTCGTAAATAAATACCTTTATTTTCGAATCTTTGAAAGTTTAATCTGTAAACATGTCAAATAAATGAATAAACAAATTTATGTATCATAAATATATATAATAAAATTCATACCATAATTTAAAATTGGTCGGAGCCATTTCTCAGTTTCATCAAGATCCTTATTAACGCGTTCAGTGTAATCCTTAATCTATTGATTATGAAGTCAAACCAAATTTATTAAATAAATGCAACATCGTTATAATAAAGGCAATAAGAACGACAAAGATAATTAACATCTTACCTGGTCTTTGCCAATCTTTCCAACAGCGAAATACCGAGACTCGGAATTTGCAAATACCAAAGCTTAAAACAAGACATCACATTAGAAGAATTACATATCAGAGAACATCCTTATCACCCCATTTAAAATGTATGGAATATAAGTACCAGAGACACTAGCGGCAGGTAACATAGCTAAGCCTTCCGTTAATTCAACTCCAATTTCTTCATGAACATTCATCAAATTCCACATCGTGATTTTTTCCCTATGATCTGGTTGTGAGGGATACGCTGGTGCTGGTCTGATACCTTGATATTTCACACTTAACATATCATTCAATGTTAAATTTTCATTTGGGTCATAACCCCATAATTTCTTTCGGATATCTTCGTGCAAACATTCAGCAAATGCTTCAGCAAATCGATCAGCCAATGCTTTCGTCATAATGGAGTTATAATCATCGTGATCTTCCTGATATTTTTTGCATAACTCTTCTGACCCGAATATACCAACTGCAAATAATCCTAGATAATCGGATATTCCGGATGCTTTAGGTGCTATAAAATCAGAAAGGCAGAAGTACGGTTCACCAGGCTCCTTTTGTGCTTGTTGTCTAAATTTTGATTCATTATATGAGAACGAATGTATATATTACACGTCGTAATTAAAATCAAATGGAAATATCATAACCTCAAACCAAAGAATGTAGCCGAAACTTTAGACCGTGACTCATCTTCAAAAACCTAATGTAGACATGGTTAATCAAATAGTAATATTTGTTAAAGAGAGTATGCATAAAATAATGCAATCCTACCTGAATATCATCACCAACGCTATTAGCTACATGTGGCGAGAACAGTTATTCAGAGTCAAAAAGTGTATAGTATTAATATTTCAATTCATATTAAAGGTAAGAGTTGAAAGTATACCGGGGTAAATTCCAACGATGCCTCTGGCTACAAATAATTTCTTATCAATAATTTTTTTAATAAAAACAAGCGCTTCATCGTATATTTTTTTCGCTTCCGCCCCTAAAAATTGATATTGAGGGTGATAATGTTATCTTCGAGAAATAAGAGACATAAAAAATCTATTGCTGTAAATTTAAGTGAGATGTTTACCAACATGTTCATCATTGAATATCTTCGGAAATCCTCGATTAGGATATCTTCCTCTCAGTTGCCTAAAATTCATAAATAAAAATCCGCGGTTCAATCTATGAATAAGATTTGATTGCGTAGAAGTGTTGACTCATACCAAACTTGGAAGAATGGATTCCAGTCGATATATTCTGAAATCTTTTTTAAATCATAATGGTCAAAGACCCTTTTCCCGATAAATGAAGGTTTAAGCGGAGGGGGGCAAATCTCCCAGTTGATCTTGAATGATTGCTCCCTCGCAGCTTTCAACGTCAAATATTTACGATCTTGCAATGAAGCATAATGGTCTTCGCGTATTTCTTCGTACTCATCGGCAATATCTTCCCAGAATTCTTCTTTTGATTTACTATCCAAAAGATTAGATACCTAAACATAGGGTTTCGGCGAGAAACTTTATTATTGGTCATAGATTCCAAATAAAACGCATCAGCGATAATATCAAAAATCATTTACCACTACAACACTTTTAGAGGCATCTAACACATGAATAGTAGGCTGACTATACCGGGGAGAAATTTTCACAGCTGTGTGGGCTTTAGATGTGGTTGCACCACCTATTAATAGTGGAATCTAAAGTGACATTTATATATACCGATTATTTATTATGGAAAAATAAATGATGCAACAATCAAAAAATAAGACCATAACCAACCTTTAATCCACGTCTTTCCATTTCTCTTGCAACGGTAATCATTTCATCCAGCGATGGAGTAATCAAACCAGACAAACCGATAATATCCGCCTTCTCTGTGAGAGCTTTTTCGATGATCTTTTCGCACGGAGTCATAACACCCAGGTCAACAACCTTGACAAAAGTTTCCTTTTATCTCAGCATATGGTAAACACCTTTTAAAAACACAATTTTTATAATGAAAAATACGATTTACCTTATAATTATTACAACCAAGCACAACGCCTACAATATTTTTGCCAATATCGTGAACATCTCCTTTCACCGTGGCTAAAATTACAGTACCAGCATACTCTGGACTATTGTCTGCATCAACACCATTCGCTGCACGATTCGCATTGCGCTCAGCTTCCATATAAGGAATTAAATGTGCAACCGCTTTTTTCATTACACTAAGTGAATGAAATAAAGTACATTCAGTATTCTGAACCAAAAAGTATAAAACCTTGGGAATATATGAAGGAATTACCGTGCGGATTTGATGACCTGTGGCAAAAACATTTTACCTGCGTTTCCAGTAATAAACCCCCGAAAATAAATGTGTTATTCATCATCGTCAAATAAAGTGTTAAGATTTCCACATACCTGCACCAAAAAGATCACCGACCGTACTCATGCCATTCATTAAAGGACCTTCAATAACCTCCAGTGGTCTCTTATACTAATCATTCCAATTAATACAAAAAATTAACAACTTTTCTAGCCATTTCTTTTCGACCATATAACCCACCATTTTTCTAGCTTCCTCTGTATCTTCAATGATATACTTTACAATTCCTTTCACTAATGCGTAACTAATTCTTGATTTTACATCGTTTTTCCTCCATTCTTCTTCTGTCTCTTCTTTCTTAGAATCTTTACCATATTTTTGCGCATATGCTAAAATTTTCTCTGTCACTTCAGGATCTCGATTCCACAACGCATCTTCACATAATTGCAAAAGATCCTTGGGAATGTCATCGTAAATTGTCAGAAATCCAGCATTCACAATTCCCATGTCGAGACCTGTAAAATAAGGAATTTTCATTATTTGATGTTATATAATTAAAAAATATTTACATATTCGAAATTACGTATACCTGCTTTTATAGCGTGATATAGGAACACACTATGCATAGCCTCTCTGATTTTCTCCATTCCACGAAATGAAAAGGAGAAGTTAGAGACACCGCCGCTGACCTATATGCAAGTATTAAATTTGACACCTTGAAAAACTTTAAATAAATCATTTACTTCTTGTCCCCACCTTGGCACCAGGTAAGTTCTGTTTTATCCATCTGGTCGCTTCTATGAATTCTACTCCATAATTACTATGTTCTTCCATGCCCGTGCATATGGTTAATATATTTGGATCTATAGAATCCCAGGAGATAATGTATAACAAATTTAATGGGAGTTGAAAGTGATGTGTTGGAAAAGATTTCATCCCTCACCAAAAATGATGTCATTTTTATTGAACCCAACTATTTCGGTTAATATCTTATAAGACCTTGCACATATTTCGATTTTTCGATCCTTTATGTCGGCTTGACCTTGCTCGTCAAACTTTCAAGAGAAAAGGCAATGTCATTCAATTATACTATAAACTCAAACGGGATATAATTATAAAGATTACCCGTAATAACTATTCACAAACTTACAGCCATGCAAATCACAGCGGCACCAAATCTTCGAATAATTCTTGCCTTCTTAATGAAGTCTTCTTCACCTTCCTTCAGGCTGATGCTATTTACGATACATTTTCCTTGTGCACATTTTAACCCGGCCAGAACGACTTCAAAGTTTGAAGAGTCAATCATTAGCGGGAGCTACATTTAAATAATCGCAAATTTTAGTTAAAATATGAACAGCAATAGCGTTCGAAAATAATCTACTTAAGTTACCTTTGCTACGTCTGGATCGCTGGCAATCAAATTAAGAAATTTGGTCATAGAAGCTTTTCCATCCAACATCCCTTCATCCATGTTAACGTCAATTATTTGAGCTCCATTTTCAACTTGAGAACGTGCTATTGACATTGCTTCTTCAAATTCTCCTTTGAGCACATGACGGGCAAACTTCCGAGAACCCGCTACATTACATCTTTCACCTACATTTATGAAATTACTTTCTTTGTTGATTTTTAAAATTTCAAGGCCAGAAACAATCAGATTTTCTGACAGCACGTTCGGTGGTGGAATTCGAGGTTTATATTGGGAGCATTCATTTACTATGGCTTTAATATGAGCGGGCGTGGTACCGCAGCAACCACCAATAATGTTAACAAGACCGTCTCTAGCAAATTCGCTAACTTTAGCAGCCATTTTTGCAGGCGTTTCATCATATTCGCCAAAAGTATTTGGTAATCCCTGATGAAATATTATATTCATATATTAATTTTCCTATATTTTAAAATCGACTATATGAGCATACTAACCGCGTTTGGATAACAAATCACGAAAGAGCTGGTGAATCTCGAGATGTTGGAAATGAATGGTCGCATTTGATCAGCACCCAAGGCGCAATTTAGTCCAATGGCCAGAGGAGATGAATGACTAAGGCTAGTCAAGAAAGCTTCACCAGTCTGGCCGCTTAGTGTACGACCAGATTGGTCAACGATGGTACCCGAAATAAAAATCGGGGTTCTCCTATAGATACCCTCTTCAAAAAGTGTATCAATCGCGTAAAGTGCCGCCTAAGCAAAGGAGAGAACTCTTCAAACAAATTCTTTTATATTTATCATGAATATCCTTTGTGTACCTACTTTTGCGTTTAATGTGTCAAAAATGGTTTCCACCAACAATATATCGGCACCACCATCTAGAAGACCTCTCACTTGCTCGGTATACGCATCAACTAATTCATCAAATGTTACATTCCTGTAGGCAGGATTTTCGACTGATGGGGAAATAGAACACGTCCTATTCGTTGGTCCAAGAGCCCCACAAACGAATCTCGGTTTGGTCGGATTTCTTGCTGTGATCTTAATAATCAAATAAGTGGATCAACATAAATTACTATAAATCAAGATCATGTAAATTACGATCGATTATCCACCTCTATGCAAGCTTCTTTTGCTAATCTGGAAGCCTCTTTATTTAATTCATAGGCATATTCCTCAGCAGAATAATCAGCTTGACTAATACGAGTACTACTAAAAGTGTTTGTTTCAACAAAATCCGATCCAGCTTCCAAATATTGAATGTGAATTTGCTTAATATGTTCCGGTTGCGTTAATACCAGTATATCATTGTTTCCTTTTAGATCCTTTGAGTGATTTTTGAATCTTTCTCCCCTAAAATCTTGTTCGGTCAGATGTAAATTTTGAATAACTGTGCCCATAGCTCCGTCAAGGAACATGATCCGCTCGGATAACTGCTCTCTGAGATAAATCTCCATGATGAATTAGAGAAATGATTAGATTATTTTTTTTTTTCCAGAAAAAAATTTTTTTTTTGAAATACGCGACGGTCATCACATGAACATCTACTATTACCATTTTGTGTAAGTATATGATTTTGCTAATTAGTATTTACCATATATATATATTCGATATCGAGATTTGCAAAATCTGTATTCATAATTGATTTCATTCCTTATGAAAATTAACCATTATCTTATTATCGATCTTTGTTATTTACTTACATTATCACCAAACAAGTGATCGAGGCTACTAACATGGGCTCAAATCTGACTAATTATTAGATTTGTACAACGAACGAAAAGTGAAAATTTTATTTCAAAAGAAAAGTTTTTTTCTAGTCATTTTCATTTATACAATTAGATCACTCAGAATAATATACAAACTCCTAAAATCCGCACCACCATTAAATTATTGTACATTACAAATTCACCAGAGTCTTCTCTATCAGTTGAACATTAAAATAAAAATCTGTAATAAGACGAATTACTTAGAGATTCACCAGAGGCTTATCATTCTCACTTTCATCGTCTTTATGTTCCATAAGAGCACTAAGATCCGCAAAACTTTGGTATGATCCAGCTTTTCGAACGCCGTCGTCACCATCTTCCACGACAACATTTGTTGAAAACACAGAGTCGCTTGCAATCGTACGATTATCCATGCTATCATTAGGTTTAAAAATACCCGAATTAATGTCGCCATTATGAGTGGGTCCATTTCCTGTATTTGTGCCTCCGGGCATATCACGTCTACCACTACCAACTAGTCTAATAAAGTCTTCCTCGCCACGTTCTCTCCTTTCACTTCGCCACTGGTCATCAATACGATGTTGGCTGCCGCGTGGCTTGGTGAACAACGGTTTGAGGAACCGGTCATCAAAGGATATAAACCAATGTGTTTGACTTGCAGTCGGCAAAACAGGAGGTATGGACAGAAGGTTATGCTGTTCTATAGAACTTCTAGTTTCATTTGAATCAATTGATCCCTGAGAGTTGATCTGATGTCTATATTCATCATAATTATTATAATCATCATCATCACTATCATTGTTTTGCTCCTCTACTCCCATTTTGATCCTGAGAATTTCTATCATTTTGCTAGTGGTTCCACCAAATATAATAACACTAAAGACAACTACCACCAGAATTGTTGCCCGCATTGCATTAGCATTATCCCCTTTAAGTCCCGCAGCTAATGCGAATGCGACTGCACCACGTAGACCTAGGATTTTTTTTTTCAATTTTGCGCGAAAATAGAAGTTTTAAATAGATATCATAGAATAATTGGTAATATCAGAAACACATACCACACCAGAAAAGCATCACAGAATATGAACGCGGTAAAATCTCTTCATCACGTTTCCGATAACGCGCAATAGAGTTCAACAATTTTGAAAGCGGGAAAACAGCGCAATAGCGTGATGCACATATGAAAATCTGATGAAGATTTTTTAGATTGCATCATTCACAATTTGTATAAATGGACAAGTAGCAGAAATGCTTACTGCGGTAAAGAATATAAAGAATGGTTTGTACACAAGATCCGTCTGAGTAAATAATGTCAACCCGAGATAGATAAAGATAAAATTTTCAGACAATTGCGCCAACACATTAAACATATATTTAGTTGTTCTCTTTGTTTTAAGAGCCATATTATCATAAGCGTAGTGCTTAAGGGTGATCCCACAGAATAAAAGGGATACGATTCCTATAAATTGATCGTTTTTAGTAAGCTAACTAATGATCCTCAATAAGAAATAATTGAAATACGCACCAGATAATTGGCAGCCATTGGAAAATAGATATGATGAATAAGCTATTAAGGCAATGAGGCACGACTCAATTGCTGGGAACTTATATAAGTATGTATACTTTAACATGTATATGATAGAAAATTGTTAAGGAATATATGCGATAGAAATAAGCACCGAAAATAATGTACAAATTATCAAATGTGTAAAGGATATCAAAGCGCAGAGGATTCCAAAGAGTACTCCGATAATCAAAGAGGCGCCAAAATTTACAAAGAAAGAACCGATACCTTGAAGGACACTCGAAAAATAAAATTCTTGACCGCGATATTGCTTCAAAGTTCTTAAAGTGAAAATTTTCTTTAAAAAACATATTTGGGAGAAGACATGAAATAAGGTTGAAAGTGGTAGCTTACTCATAGAGAACGATAGCAGTGGCATCGTTCAAAATACTCTCTCCAAAAATTATGGAATACAGTTGAGGATCAACTTTTAGGGTCTGAAATATGGTAAGTACAGTCACTGGATCTGTCGCGGATAAAATTGAACCGAAAATCATTGAATCCAAGAAAGAAAGAGAGAGTGAATAGATTCCCGTTGCGGCCAATATAGCCGTTAAAAAACTTGTGGATTGGAAAAAAAAATCAACCATAAATCAGTATAAAATTAGTAGACTAAAGTAAGTTATTGTTAGAATCAATTACCCAATCACTATGGCACTAATGAATGTACCCACAAGGGCAAAAGTGAGAATAGTTCCCAGATTTTTAAAAAAGTTTTCCTAAACAATCGATAATAGAGATGAGTCCACTAATCTAAGGTACAAAACGCAACGAATGATCTTTTCTCTCTACCTTCTTCATTGCATACCCAGAATTTAAAATAATTGGGGGTAATAAAAGATTGAAAAAATATGATGAATGGAAGGTGACCATCTTTTGAATCAATGATCCTGGTGAATATTTGATGATCAGGCCGACAAGCATTCCTGGACGAAATTAGAGTTAATTATTTGAAAAATGAAAGTTCTTTGTGGATCACTTAAAAAGCCATACCAGCAAATATGGATACAATGGTTTCGTGTATAGCACGAATTTGCTTAACTTGCAAGTAATAACTCGTCAGTAATGCAAGAATCAATAAACTCGTTTGGATTAGCAAGGCCCAGCTTGAGTAAAGCTCTTGTTCCTCTTCTGGAACTTTATTCATTTTGATGAAAGCAATCTAGGCGCGCCTATTTGTTCAGTGATTCTAAATGAATTATTACTATTCCAGAATGCAAACAGACACATTCTCTACCCAAAGCTACTTGAAATAATACAAATTCTTACGAATTGCAGAAACATGATCATTGCCCAATAATTTTAACTTACTAAGGAATAGAACAAGAAAAATGATAAACGGTTCAAAAAAAGAAGGAAAGAGTGATGACATAAAAGTAATGTTTTAGCACGCATTATAAATTTGTTGCGTGTTTGTTTTGTCCAATCAGATTTAAATTTCAAACAATCTATAAAAAAAAATTTTTTTTTTAAACCACTGTAAATTAATATTTAATTTAATTCACAATTATACCAGTTATATCACGTGATATAATCGAACACATTTTGTAAATATATAAAAGAATAAAACAGATATTAGATAATATTGACTTATAATAAATTTAATATACAGTGGTACCCAAAATTTTTTGGAAAAATTTTTTAAAAAATTAAAAATTGCATTGTTATTTAATAAATATTA